CCCCGGTGCTTTGAGAATCAGGTGCCACTATGCCCCACAAGCCCAGTGACCTGGGAGAGGCCTTCTTCCCTTCCATTAGCCCCTCCCAGGGGAGCATTAGTCATCTTGGGGGCCTCCTAGAAGGTAAAGAGCAGCTGCCAGGGCGAAGTTCACCCTGCCAGGTAAATACTCTCTGAGAACCTAGTTGGCCATCCAGCCTAATCAGAAGTAGCTCTGTGAACTGAGGGTTTAATGAGAAAAGAATCGAAATCCTTTTAAATCACCAAGCTTCCGATGCGCCTGTCCCTGTATCCTTGAGGCACCACTCATAGACACGCCTGAGTCAGCACAAGCTCACCCTGAGACAGTGTATCTTACCCCACTACTACTGCTGGGTTATCTGCCCTTCATCCCATTTTTACCCCACCTTCTGTAGGGAGTCCAGTGGCTTTCAAACTTAGCGCCCAGCCTCCTGAGCCACACCTCTAGAACCACAGAGGGGTGTCAAGAGTTTGTATTTCTAAGTAATCCTAGCACACCCAGACTGAGGCAGGAGGATACCACAAGTCTGAAGCAAACCTAGACTACAGTATGAAACCCTGTCTCCAGTAAACCAAACCAGGTTGGCCTTAAACTCAGAGATCTCACAGAGAACTCACTGTTCTATCACAACTGTCTTGCCTACAAATGTTCTCCCTAGTAAGTAACTCTTGAGGAGTCAAATGAGCTAGCACATGGTGTGCTCTGCACAGCAAAAATTGTGACTATCAAACTGTGTGATATAACTAACAGCAAAGCTTGCATGTGATGATGCACACTGTAATCCTAGTAGGGGCTGGAGGCAGGATGATGCCAAGCTTTAGGCTAGCCCAGGACATGCAGTAAGACCCTCTCTCATTGAACAGAGGTGGGGGGGGGGTAAAGAAGTCAGAGTGTTCATAAGTCTTGGCCCAGGCTTTCATGTTGGTCATGTGGCTTTGAGAACCCCTTGCCTCAGTTTCCCCATCTGTACTAAATTGGCAATGCTTCTCACTTTCCCTTCCATGCAGGACATTCTGAGGCCCTCAGGAAGCTGTGTGACTGTGCTTTGCAAATGGTAACCACTGTCTAAACTCTGCTCTTAGCAGGAAAGAATGTGAACTTGAAGTCAGAGGTGGCTTTCTGCCTGCTTTCCCCATCTTAGGGGGAGCTAAAAGTGACAGAGACTCAGAGCAGCAGCAGGCTGACGCTTAGGGAACCCCTCAGGTCTATCTCCCTCTCTCACCTGCAGCTAGTCCCAGGGTGACTGCTGTCACTGTGGACTCAGGCTGGGCCTCACACAATTCCTTCCTGAGAATTGCCCCCAGACGAAGGCCAGCCTGAAGCCCAGGCTCTGATACGGGCTGGCCCCTCTCAGACCTTCAGGGCACTAATGATGACTGAGCATGGGGTGCCCCACTCAGAGCCCATGCTAGGCAGTCCCAGAAACTCCTTCCACAGTGCTCTCAGCCTTTGTCCCCTCCCAGGCTGCCTGAGCCCTCAGCCACTGGAGCTGTGCACCTTGACTGCCCCCTGAGGTTCCACAGCAGGAGAGAGGCAAGAATCCCCTCCTTTCAGTTGGAGCACAAGGCAGCCACAGTCCTGTTTAATTTAATGCACTGTGACTTGCCAGGTTGCCCCTGGTAACAGCTTCAGCTGCTGCTTCCAAAACAGCCAGGACTTTTAAAGGGACAGGCTATTTTCAGACTGGTATTGCACTGCAGAGGGAACAGCATCCAGGAGCTTCTCCTGGATAGCAAAAACCAGCAGCACTACGAGGCTGCCACTCCATCTGCTCCCGCATTAGTGGAGCTCCGCTGATGCTCCACTCCATGTCTGCCGACCTCATCTGTAACCCAGAAGCCCACTGTCAGCATCACTCACAAGTGATCTGCGCAGGGGCTACATCTGAGTTTTGACACTTGTGTCAGTCAGATACCTACATTTTTGAAAATCAGTTTAGTCTCCAAATTTGGAGGATGGGGGAGAGAGGAGCTGCTCCTGCAATTCAGGGACAGTGCGTCTAGGTGGTGATATGGCTTCCATTGTGAAAATCATAGGTAGGTTCTGGATTTGAAGGTGCTGACAGGGAGCAGAGTGGAGGGGGAAATACCTGCTGGTAAACCTTGATGTCAACTCACAGGGAGCTTTGGGTAAATCACTCCACCTCTCAGGCCTCAGTGCCCCGGATACGTAATAAGGAGATTGGTAATGGTGTCACAGGAAAGGTTGGAGGTTAGGACCATGGAGGGATGAGTTCAGCTTCCTGCTGTCAGTCACTGGATGTCTTTGGACCTGAGTGTCGATGAAAGGAGTGTCTACACAGCCAGAAGAGCCTGCTCCGTCCTTCACGGGTGCTTTTCACAGTCAAAGCCGGGCATAGGCACACGTAGTCCCACCGTCTTAACCCACTGAGGTGCTATACACAGAAAAGCACACATGGCAGCTTGGCACTCTCCAGCTCTAACTCCTGCTATGGCTCCCCACTGCCTTACAGCTGGACTCCAAAGGCACTCTGGCCCTTCACAATGTTCCCACTGGCTCCCGCTCTTTGGGTTAGGAATCCCAGCCCTGGACACATGCAAACCTCACATACCACTCTCCTGCCATCTCTGAACTTCTGCCCATTATGGCCAGTCGTCCTGGAATAGTTTTTCTCACTACATCCCTCTGGTGGCTCCCTCTCTCCTTGAGGACCATGTTCTCGTGCCACTTCTCCAGAGAGCCTTGGGGGAATCCTGGGTTGGGGAGGACACATCCTCAGGGCTCTCACAGCCCCTGAATCCCTTCCATTCCAATTGTGTATTTACACCTGACCGAAGCCCCTCAAGATGGGACCACCTTCCCTCTCCTTCACTGCCCAGCCTTGGACTGTTCACTGGTTCTGGATTCCTCCACCTCACTCTACACACACAATGTAGCCTTCCAGGTTATACACACACACACACACACACACACACACACACACACACAGATACACACACACACAGAGAGAGAGAGAGAGAGAGATACACAGAGAGAGAGAGAGAGAGAGAGAGAGAGGAGAGAGACACACCACACATACACACTCACAGAGATACACACACACACACAGATACACACAGAGATACACACAGAGAGAGAGAGAGAGGAGAGAGACACACCACACACACACACACAGATACACACACACACACACAGAGATACACAGAGAGAGAGAGAGAGGAGAGACACACACCACACACACACACACAGATACACACAGAGGGAGAGAGAGAGACAGAGGAGAGATACATACACACACACACAGATACACACACACAGATACACAGAGAGAGAGAGAGAGGAGAGATATACACACACAGATAGACACACACACACATATACACACACAGAGACAGAGGAGAGATACATACACACACACACAGATACACACACACAGATACACACAGAGAGAGAGATACACAGAGAGAGAGAGAGAGAGAGACAGAGGAGAGATACACACACACAGATAGACACACACACATATACACACACAGAGACAGAGGAGAGATACACACACACACACACACACAAACACACACACACAGTTTGCCCAAGATCTTAGACACTGGCTGTGGCTCCCTCCACCTCACCCACACGCAATGTTCTGGTTACCCATTCTCTCACATCCCCATGCATCCACTAAAGCCAATCCCCACTCCCACCACATACCCTCCTGGTCCCTGTCCCACCCTGTGAAGTGCCACAACCTACTCAAGACCCAGCTTGAAAATGTGCCGTCTCTCTGGACACACCTTTAATACCAGCATTTGGGATCTCTGAATTCAAGGCCACCCTGGTCTACAGAGTGAGTTCCAGGATAGCCAAGGTTACACAGAGAAATCCTGTCTCAAAAAAGAAAGAAAATACCTCCTCTTGCTGTAGATGCTCTGCATCACTTTGGGCAGACTTCGCCCCTCCTCCAGGGTTTGACAGTCTAGCATGGTGACAGGAGCATGGGCACTAACCAAACATCAGCCCCCAACTCTGCCCTCTCCGGCTGTGGTATCCTGGGCAAGTCACTTTCCTCTCTGCACCTCAGTGTGTTTGCCTGTAAAGTAACTAATACCTGGGCCCAGGTTGCTGTGAGATCCAGGAAATGGGCATGAGAACCTTGGCACACACACACCAGGCTTCTCCATACGCAGGGCTGTTTCCCTAGCCAGCTTGTGAACCCGGTAATGTCAAGGTTCAACTGCCGCTCAGGGCCACATCCCCACAGCCCCTCAGAGGTGCTCAGAAATGCTGGCCGATCTGAATGGTGCTGGAGGGGGAGGGGTGTGGGGAGTGAGGTGAGAGAGACCCTGAGCCCAGAAAGCAGAAGAGGGGGTAGGGAGATGACTGTGGGGGAGGGGCCAGAGCCAGAGGCAGAGCTGCCGATATGCACTGGGGATTTTATTGGTTTTCATTAAAATTCCTTCCCAAGGCAGGAGGAGCTACTCCCATAAATAGCAGCATAAATATTTTATCAGGTGCCCAAGTCAGTCTAAATGCACAGCAAGGTTGGCAAGAATAATAATGGGAAAATATTCAGGGAGGCGGGTGTGCTGAGCTCGGTGGACTCGCTTGACATCCCCAGAGAGGCTTTCTCAGGAAGGTGGGAGTGAGGAGGGTGCCAGAGGGGAGCAGCAGGAGTGGAAGGAAGAAAGGGGAACACAGCTGAGCAGAGCCCAGACTGGGGGACCCAGAGACTGGGCGGGGTTAGCCGGGGAAGGGAAAATCATGTTCCACACCTGCTCTGTAAGGGTCACTTCACTGGAAACTCAGGTGACTAATCTCAAATGCCCTTTGATCAGAGAAGTAAAGCAATTTGCCTAAGGTTGCCCAGCCAGGCACTGTCATCAATTCTATTGAAAACCAAAGACCTCCCCACTGTATGTGTTGCCTCTTCAAGTTCAGGCTCACAAGCTTGGGGACTTGTGAACAACAGCCTGAGTACCTTGGTAACCACACCATACAGCATGTCATTCTCTGCTTCCTAGATCCCAATAGAGGAGAAAAGGAGCTGGTATTTTACCATGGCAACGCTCTTCATCAGGTCAGGCCTGGGGCTGGAGATGGGTTGGGGATGGTGGGAGAGGTGTGGCCTGGAAGCCAGGCAGACATGGAGCAGAGGCGGGTGGGCACCGTGGAGCACTCTAGAGGTGATATGCAGGGGCCACGGCCCTTTCCCACCCACAGGCTGGATGGCATCTTGCTGGAGATGGGCAGCGAGGAGCAGAAAAGGCTGCCAGCCTTCAACCGCACCCTGGCCTTACTGCAGCAAGTCCTCAAGTCCTCAGACTCCCGACACCAAGGTGGGAACTCCAGGTGGGGCTCAAGAGCCTCTGTCCTTCTGTCCTGCACCTGTCAATAGTTCTGTCCTCCTCTGGTCCCGTGTCTCTTTGCCTCACCCTGGCTCACCTCACAGCCATATGATTGCCCAAGGAAGCCCAGGCTTAGCAGAGCCGGGTGCCCAAACCTGTGGTCCCAGCACTGCGTGGCGCGAGAAACAGCAGGTATAGGGCTCGACCAGTGGTAACACAATTTACCAATATGGAAACAGGCAGACAGAGTACTTATTGAAATACACTGCAGGGAAGTAGCAGGGGAGTCACTGCTTCTTCAAGGAAGAGATGAGCGCTAAGAGGCGGTTCCTTTTGCAGCAGATGGGGCTACTTGGCCTTGCTTCATAAGCCATTTGTGTGGGGACTCCACCTGGGGGGAGAGGCTGCACCTATGTCATCTGGTTTAGTAGGAATTTACAGTAAATTGTTTTCCCTGAGAATGGCGATTTGTGCCAGGAGCCTTGGGGTCAGGCTCCAAAGGTGGTGGCCTGCCTGTCAAAACATAGGAATTTTTCTTGTATTTGGGGCTTTTTGTCTCTCTACTCAGAAGCCTGAGGTAGGAAGCCCAGAGTGCTAAGCTAGCCTGTATGTTAAGACTACCATAAAACAAAAAGCCACCAAGCATGCAATGACACAGACCCACATCTTGGAATGTGTAGAACGTGTCTCCACCAGGTCAGCGTTCCACCTCCGTCTACGGTTAGGGAAGAAGCCTGGCTTGGAGACAGGTGAGTCACTCATTCTAAAGGCCAAACAGCAATCACAGGGACTACACCCCCCAGGAGCCCAGAAGAGCTATGTCCCTGAAACAGCATCTCCCGTGTGACACGCTTAGACACAGGCTAAGCGCCTGAGCGTGTTGTGTCACTCAGGAGTCCTATAACTTCCCTGTGCCTTTTGTCTCCTCTGTCTCCGGCTCATGCTGTGGTCCTTTCTTTTTCTTTATGGGGGCTGACAGCTACAGAGGAGGCGCAGGCTCCATCCCTGCTTGTGCCCTCCCTGCCTCCACTGCCCCCTAGACACCCTGCCCTCTCTTGCCCTCACCCAGCTTTGGCCTGGTGCTACGTCGGCATGCTGCTAGAGAGGAAGGACACCTTCTTTACCACCCCCATGGGTGTCCATGAATGTGGGTACTCGGGGACGGAGCCGCTGGACTGCTTTGGCAAGGTATGTATGTGTTCTAGGTACACCCACTTTGCAAATTTGGACTCCCCCAGAGCCCTCTGTTTCTCCAGGCCAATCCCACCCAGGAAGGACCGTACTCCAGCCCTCCATGTCCATCCTCTCCTCACTCAAAGCAGAAGTGTTCCTTCATGCCTGCTCTGCTCTGCCCAAGAGCAACACAGTCCCCACCTACAATGGTCATACCCATTCTTCCAGCCTTGAAATGGGCCCTTGGCCGTGTTTCTTCTCTCTTACCCGCAGTGGTTTAGTGGAGGGGTTAGGTTTCCCGGGGGTCTCCTTACTGGTTCTGCCCTCGGGCCATGTGACCCTGAGACAAGTCATTTAGAATTTGTAGCAATCAATACCAGCATTGGCAGGGCCAGCTTGACCTAGCTAGAAACCCGTAAGTATGAGGAGGCAGAACATGACTCTGCCCTACCTCTTCTCAGCCCCATGACAACGGAGGAAAAGCTTGAGAATGAATGTATGCACCAGTGAGTTAGACTGCAAGGAATTTGGGGCTGGCGGGCTTACCCCAATGTAGTTACCGTATGACTGAGATACATGGGTGCTGGCCACGGGTAGGGAGGATCTGTGACCGTGGTGGCACAGCTTTATCCTTTATTTCTACCTTCCTCCCTTCTCAGGCCATTGAGATCGCCAGGGACCAACCTCCCATCCTGAATCGCCTGGCCAAAATCTTCCACTTCCTAGGAAAGCAGGATTTGGCCATAGGAACTTGCAACATGGCCCTGGATGTGCTTAGAGACCCACAACTCAACTGGCAGGCGTACTGCACCAGGGCCAAGGTGAGCCAGCCAGCAGGCCCACCTCATCCTGCCAGCAGCAGTAAGAGGCCAAAGGGCAAGGGCAAAGATCCTGGGGCCAGTGCCCTGGAATCTTCATAGCACAGAGCTCAGGAATCATGTAGATACCTGTGCTAAGAGAGTTAAGTTTGATGCTGTGTGTGAACATGGAAGCAAGCTTATCCGAGGAGTTCATTTGTGACCGACTCATTGCTATTATTAGGTCCATCTTTAGCAACTTCACTGTCTCTTGAGAGACTGGGCTGCGCCACATCCTCAATGCTGTCAGTCACGTGCTGAGGTGAGAGTGGCCTCCCTCAGTTCTCCTTGCTGGACCCAGCTCTACCTCTGGCACCCCACAGAACCCAGCTGCTTGAGGCCACACCTACAGCTCTGAATTCATTTTTCTCCAAGTTAATAAGTACCCCCCACCCCTCGTCTTCTCTACTGCCTTTCACCTGACCTGGTAGCCATTGTACTGGCCATATGGTCTCCATGGCTGCAGGAAGTAAACAGAAAATTCTTTCCTGGTAGTTGATGCAGCTGCTACTGATAGTAAGGATACTGGTTGTAAAACCAGAAGGTGGCACTACGAAAGTCTTCCATGCTATGCTCTGGTTTAACCCTCCCAAGAATCCCGTGAGAATTGAGACACATGCCAGTCTATGGGTGGGGCATGGCACAGGGAGGCAGCCAGCTTCCTCAGGGTCCTGCATTCACTTGGTAAGATGACTGTCTTAGCTCCTCCCTCTGCTTCCTGTGGCTCCAAAGGTCCCACTTACTACTCAGATGACCAGAGCAAGAGGGAATAAGACAGACAGAAAGGAATGCACAGGGCAAGGTGGAAGCTTCAGCTCGTTGTGCTACCAGGGAGGCCAGAGCTGGCTGTAATAGCTCTGCCCCGGGAGGGAGGCCAGGCCTGGCTGTATAGCTCTGTCCCGGGAGGGAGGCCAGGGTTTCACTGTGTAGCCCTGGCTGGACTGGAACTCCCTCTGTAGCCCAGGCTGGCCTCACACTCACAGAGATCCTCCTGCCTCTGCCTCCAGAGTGCTGGATCAAAGGCGAGCGCCACCACCGCCTGGCTACTTTTCCCTCTTAACACCTGGCACACTGTTTACTGTTTGTCCTGTTGATCATTTCTCCCTACTCACATACAAGCCCACGGTCATTTTGTTTTCCATTGTATCCTCAGTGCCTGGCACATAGTAAGCATTGGAAATTGCTAACTTTTCAGCTTAGAAAATGGAGTTCAGGTGTTATGAGACTTCCTCCAGGTCATGTGACTGATTGTGGGGACATTTGATTCATGTTTGCTGAAAGAATGAATGAATGAATGAATGTTCTTACTTCATCCTGCTCCTCACTGTATAAGCAGGGAGACAGGCCCAGAATGGGAAGTGGTTACCCTAGGTGGCACAGAACTAAGACCCCGGGCTCCTGGGTCCCAGCCTGGGGTGGCAGGCTTTCTGCAGCCACACGGGACACCCCTGATTGCTGCCGAGAAGCAACCTGGATTCTTCATGAGATCAGAACCGAGGCAGATGTCTTCTGCAGCAGCTCCCCCTGAGTTTGCCTCTCTGCTGCAGGTCCAAATCAGAGCCTATGTCCACGACCTGGAACGGGCCAAGGTGGGACTTGGGGGTATGCCCGACAGGAACCACCTGGCCTGTGCCAAAGCTGACCTTGAGGAAGTGGTCAAGGTGTACCCAGGCCTCAGGACCTACCTAGACATCGGCCAGGTAAGAGAGGCAAGGGCTGCCTGGGCACTGAGGACAGAGAGGAGTAAGAGGTGTCCATCCCTGCTCTCCTCCTCCAGCTGTCCCATGGCTTGGATGCAATGATGTATGTAGTGTTCGGAAGACCCCCTTGTCCCACCCTCTACTCCTCTCAGCGGTCAGCACAGATCATGCTGTGTCCACAGGAAGGGCCATCAAAGATGACTACATCGTAATTGTACATGGGAGGGCTTATGCAAGGTCATAAGGCTAGGTGTGGAGGAGATGGGACTAGAACCCTGGTACAGGGTTTTCCGGGGGGCAGGAACAATATCTCTAACTCATAGGAGAAATGGTGGGGACTGGTAAGGAGGGCAGGGTGCAGAGGAGGAAGTCTCAGAGGTCACCCCCACGCAGGTTTACTACTACATGGGCGTGGATGCCATGCGGGAGCTGCTGGCAGTGGATGAGGCCGCGCTCAACCAGGCGCTGGTCTTCCTGGCGAAGGCTGGCGAATTGGAGCTGGGAGACACATTGCCCGAGCTGCAGCTGCTACGTGGTAAATGCTTGCGAGTCCAGGGCGAGGACGCCAACGCTGCAGCCTGCTTCAAGCGTGCAGTGGAGTTGGACGACGCAGGATCCAGTCACACCGAGAGCTTTGGCTGCCTGCTCGAGGCACTGCTAGCCCAGTGGAGCCAGGCACAGCTGAGCGACAGCGAGGTGGGCTGCGAGGTGGACATCTGGCTGTGCCACGCCCAGAGCAAGTACCCGGCCACACGCCTGCGCCAGGAGCTACAGCGAGTGTGGCGCAGTCACACGGATGACGTCCTGGGTCTGGCTAACACCTTAGTAGCCCAGGGACGGCCAGCGCTAGTGCGGCTGCTCTTTGAAACCATGGAACATGAGGGTGAGGACACTGGAGGGCTAAGCAAACGTCGGGCGTCCTCCTCCTGAGTCAGGTGCTGATGCCCTGATGAGGCCCAGACCGGAACCCCACCCAGGTGACTGAATCTAGTCATGGCACTCAAGACAGGTCACCGGGTGAGCGGAGCCAGAATGTTTTCAACACTGGGTTATAATTTAGTCGAAGGTCTGCCTAACAAGCATGGGGCCCTGGTTCGTTTCCTCCTACACCTGGGGGATGGAGGGTGGGGTGGGAGGATCAAAGCAAACTTTCTCCTCCCACTGAAATTGTGAATGGGTAGCTTTGAGACATTTTGTAAATTTGAAATACCCATAGGACAGTAATGGGCACTTGCGGGAAAATCTGCAGAGCAAGGAGTCTGGGAGCAGGCATGAGAGACCACTGGAAAACTGCCACTTGGGGAAAAGAAATTTACAGACATGCAGCAAAGATAGAATGGCTCAAGTCTCCTGACAGAAAGGATAGCTTCTCAGATGTGACTGTCTATCCCAGATGTCTGAGTGGCTGCCATTGGAGTCCCAAAGGCCACAGAAAGTTTAGCTGAGTGGGTCTCAAGTCCTCAGTCAGAAAAGCCTCGGCAGCACAGACCAAGGAGGCACTGTGCGTGGGTGCAACAGGGTTCTGACTCCAGTCTTGGTGCTCAGAGCCAGTTCCTACCTCTCCATCGGCTTCAGCAGGTCTCTGCTTTGGCCAGCCTTCTTGGAAGGCTTCCCAAAGTCCCTGAAATAAAACACATCAGAAACACCCTTACCCACCTTCCCTGTCCTCTCTGTGTCCCTGCTCCTTTACTGTTTAGTTTTGTTTATCATTTTATGACACCTAAGGACTTTTTCCATGACCTCGTTCCCACATTCACTCATTGTGTGAGTGATCAGCAAACACCCATTCTAATTTCCCTCAGGGTTCTCTGCACATTAACCAGAAGTCAAAGAGGTAGAGAAACCAATTCCAGCTGGGCAATGGTGGTGCACGCCTTTAATCCCAGCACTCGGGAGGCAGAGGCAGGTGGATCTCAGCGAGTTCGAGGCCAGCCTGGTCTACAAAGTGAGTTCCAGAACAGGCTCCAAAGCTACAGAGAGAAACCCTGTCTCGAAAATCCACCACCAACAACAACAAATTCCCTGGGCTGCCTACCATGCGCTGTGCATGGATCAAGTGGCATTACAAACCTCACTCTATGCATGACACAGACACGAGCAAGGTCCCAGACAGATGAAAAGGCAGGGCTGAGGCAGAACAGCCCATTCCCTGTCACCTCCCTGCTGTAGGCTTACAGTTATGGCCTCTTCGGTCAGTTAGGCTTTCCTGGTGCCCCTTGGGCCTGTTCTCCCCATCTCTGCTCCTGGCTGTATGACCTCCGTGCCTTTTCACATCTGGTTTCCTCACTGGGTCTCCCCAGCCATTGCTGTCCTAGCAAGTGCTCAGCTCAGAGGCAACCCACCCCCCACAAAGTTCTTTGCTTCCTCTCATGAACCCCACTTTTCTCAACACCGAGGGTTTATTGGAGCTATGTCCCACTGCATGACATTCATGGATGCTGTGACTAGGACTATAGCCCAGGGATCCCTGAAGTCTAGAGTTCAGCCAGAACCATGGCCTGTGTACCTCCTGCTCAGCTTCATGTCAACTCCCCAATTCCAGGAGTGGGAAACTGAGGCCCAGAGACTTGTCCAAAGTCAAGCTCAAAACCGCCACCCCATCCATGGTCCTTTCAGGGAAGCTGCTTTGCCAAGTTTGCTCCTGTCAGCTCCATGAGAATCCAAGTTCTTCCATTTCTTCTCTCATCAAATGCTTAGCAAGCACAGGCTGAATGTCAGACAAAGTGCTAAACCCCAGGACAATTCTGTGGCCAGAACCAACCTTGTCTTTGCCTTGCCTTCAGAGGGGTAGCAGCCTAGACCATACATAGCAATTAGGAAAACACCTCCTGTATCACCCTCAGGACTCAAGATCTACAAAGCTACTGGAGACCTACAGAAATTACTGAAAGGCACCCCGTGCGCCCCTCCTCCCCCAGCTGTCCTCAGCTGACCTGAGTGGCCCTTCTGCAGTGTAGTAACGAATGTGCTGTCCCAGGCCCTGGATCTTGGCTGCTCCTCTTCATCAAGTCGTGGCTCAGGCCAGGTCTGACAGGTCCTTACTCTTTTGGTTTCATGTGTAAGCCCTGCAGAACCCTCTGCCCACCGGATGGCTGGAAGGACAACTGTCCTCTCTTCTCCTGGGTCTCACAGCTGCTAGGCAGCTGGGAAATCTGTTTAAGAAGTCTGAGGGAGGGATGTGAAAGATAAAATGGGCAGGATTCCTCAATAGTGGGTTTCAAAGCTCTACGAGTTTCTAAGAACCTTCATTCTCACCTGTTCTAGCCTCTCATCTAAAGCAAGACTCCTGAACACTGAGTGGGAGTGTCTACACGCCCTTGCACACAGCAGACAGGCAGAGTACTACATCACAGAAGAATTCGTTGATAGCCAGGAATGGTGGCTCACACCTGTAATCCCAGAGCTCCTTAGGCTCCACCTTGGGATCAAGACTAGCCTGGGCTACACAGTGAGTTCCAGGTCTACAGAGTGAGAGCCTGTCTGGAAAGCTAAACAAATGAAAGAAGAAAGAAATTTTAAAATGGAAAGGAAAAATAAAGACAGCAAGAAATCCACAAAAAACAAGTCAGTTCGTTTTCAGCAGGTCTGTCCTTTTATAGAGTTGAAATCTTTTCTAAAACTTTCTTCCCCAATTCAAGTTTGTTTCCTGGGGTCATAGAGTATAGACCCTAGTAAGCCGAGTGGCCTTGAACAGGCTCCTCTGCTCGCCATTCTCTTTCTAGCCTGGCGCTGCTGTACAGTGTTGCCAGGCTGCGCTCTGGCTTGGCTTCCAACCTCCAGCCCCAGCTAGGGAGCTCACAAGGAAGGTTTGAGCAGCTAAAAGTTGTGCAGAGCCGGGTTTCTCTCTATCCTGAATCAGCCCCCAAGGGATCACCCTGCATGGATGATCATGGCTGGATGCCAAATGAAGTGAAATATCTCCTTCCTAGGCTGTCGATTTTTTTTTCTTGTTTAGGGAAGGCTTGGATAATGACGTTTAGCACTTTACAGCTCAACAGTAAAATGAGCAGATGGAAACAGATTCTAGCACCGGGGACTGAAGCTCTAACAGCCAGAGCCGCTTCCCCTATCCCCTTGCCCACCCTGCCCCCACAGTCCTAGGGGTCAGAGTCACTGGCAGGCTGGCTGATGAGGACGCTGATGAGGACGCAGTCAGTGATGAGGACTCTGATGAGGACGCAGTCAGGGCCCCCCCTCCTCTCTCAGTTTTGCCACACCCAGCTGTTCACACCAGGTTTCACACCTGTTCTAAATCTACCCTCAGCCTCCCTGCTCCATGACAGCTGCCCCCACTGCCACCCGCAGCTATCCTGCCTCCCTGCCTAGGCCCTCAGTTCCAGTGAGATCAGCCTCCCAGCAGGCGCAGGCCTGGCTGGAACGCTCTGCACTGTCTGTTAGGTGGAGAGGAGTGGGGAAGGAGCAGGCTGTCTGGAGAGTGCTGCTTGCCGCATTCCTTGCAGAACACCTGGTAGGTTTAGCATCCGCAGTCTACCGCAGTCTACCGGGAGAGCAAATATTAAGCTGGGGACTACTGGGCCCTGACCCAAGCCCCTAACTTGTGTCCAGGCTCGTTTTATTTTAATGCTGGGTCCCCAGCCTGTGATGCTGTTTTGAAGGAACCTGTAGGTGGGAGACAGGGCCTGGATGGTGGAGTCTCTGAGAGTTATTCCCCTTTCTGCCATGTCTGCTGCCTGCTGTCAAAGGAAGACGCTGACACTGCGTGCTCCCACACACAGAGCCACCCTGCTTTGACTTCTCCCACCCTGAAGAACGAAGCTTCCTATAAAACTGTGCACCAAATCACAGGATGGCAGTGGGAAGGGTTAGGTGGCAGAAGGGGATGCTTACAGGGCACCTAGGGGATACTCAAGCTGGCTTTGCAGGCTTTTCTAACCTCTTGTTTACATTGTCTCTGTCAGGCATTTGGTCACAGAAATGAGAAAAATAGCAAATACACTTCCCCAGAATCTAATTCTAGCATTTTAACATTGGATTTCTCAGTTCCTAGAATGCAAGGCACACATCTCTGTTTTTTGGTTTTGGCGGAGTTTTGTTGTTGTTGTTTTGTTTTTTTTGTTGTTGTTGTTGTTGTTGTTGTTTTTAGAAATTTCCCAGTCTCTGGGGTTGGAGAGATAACTTAGCAGTTAAGACTTCTTGCTGGGGCTGGAGAGATGGCTCATAGGTTAAAAGCAGTGACTGTTCTTCCAGAGATCCTGAGTTCAATTCCCAGCAACCACATGGTGGCTCACAACCATCTATAAAGAGATCTGGTGCCCTCTTCTGGCATGCAGGCATACATGCAGGAAAAACACTGTATACATAATAGATAAATCAATCTTTAGAAAAAAGGTCTTTGGATTACAACTGCAACATCAGTTATTCTAGTTGGCCCAGTTCACAGATTTTTTTTGAATTTATAGTTTTCTATAATCATTTGAGCCAACTGCACTCATGTCACACACACACTCTCACACACACACTCACACTCACATACACTCACACACACTCACACACACACTCACACTCACATACACTCACACACACGCTCACACACACGCGCTCACACACACACTCACACACTCACATATACACTCACACATGCTCACACACACGCTCACACACACATACTCACACACACTCACATATACACTCACATATACACTCACACATGCTCACACACACGCTCACACACACATACTCACACACACTCACATATACACTCACACACACTCACACACGCTCTCTCACACACACACACACACAGAGCCTATAATGTGTCTCTCTGAGACCCCTCACGCAGATACCTATTAAACCTCTCTCTTCTCAGGAGGACCACACCTCCTCAGCACTCACATGATACTTTCTTTGCACTCCTATATGTATCGTAATCTACCTCATGGAATTTCCTAAGTGCAAAATAGGAAGGGTGTTCATTGCATACCAGACATGTGTGAGGCACTGTAGTGCTTGCCTGGTGTTCACTGTTTCTTTCTTTCGCTGACTAATTCATTCAGCAAAGCTGTAATGTGCCAGGCAATGATCTAGTCCTGGGGGTGGGTAAGCTATGGCTGAATTTGGCCTGCCACCAGTTTTTTTTGTTTTTAATAAAGTTTTATTGAAACACAGTCATGATCATTTGTTTACATTCTCCTATGGCTACTTCTTTTAGATAATGACCTAATTGAGTAGTTGTGATAAAGACCAACTGAAATACTTAGTGTACTGGTACTGTTTAGCTCTTGAAGAAGAAAGTTTGGTTCCCTCTGGGAGAGGCAGTAGTGTGTATCACTGTGTTCTAAGGCTAGGGATAGGGGAAGGATGAAAACACAAATGATGAAAGGATGAAAAGGCCCCAGACTGGAAAGGCCTTTATTATGCTAACTGGTGGTAAGTATTAGAAAGGAAACTGAATTAAGAATATGAGGCATGTCGGGGAGGGTGTGGGTAGGGGTGGATTGCAAGGGGGAAGAGGGTGTCCTGGCTGAACATGGGACAGTGGGAGTGGAGGAGTGCGTCCTGTGGGTGGAGCCTAGAGCTGTCAGCTTGGAAAACAACAGGTGCAGAGCCATGCTTGAGTATTAGCTATAAGTAAGCTTGCACTAAACCCTGGGTACAGGTGCCCTTCAACTACTTCCCATACATAATCACATTTAATTACTTACAAGTCATTATCTACTTACACAGATAATCATACAAAAGAATGATCTGAATATATTTCTGCTGCTACTCACACAGCATTTTCTTTTTTTTTTTTTTTTTTTTTTTGGTTTTTCGAGACAGGGTTTCTCTGTGGCTTTGGAGGCTGTCCTGGAACTCACTTGGTAGTCCAGGCTGGTCTCGAACTCACAGAGATCCACCTGCCTCTGCCTCCCGAGTGCTGGGATTAAAGGCGTGCGCCACCAACGCCCGGCTTCACACAGCATTTTCAGTTTAAAGTTTTGTCTGTTGCTCGAATGTCATGTCTGACAGCATTACAAGGTACTGTGCCCTCCTCTTGAAAGGCAATCTCCCATGAAGCCCACGGCTCCTGCTGCTAGGGAGTCCCTTGTGAACTTCACCGATGTTCTTCTCATGCAGAGTCTCTCTTGATTTGAGGTCATGGGCTCTGGATGCAGGGAGGTCTCATATGCCACAAGAGTTTGTCATCTGAAGGGTAGACAGCTATCCCTTCCTCTACTGATTGATATATTAAGCCACAAACCAAGGAAACTGTGATCCTTCAAAGTGCTGAGGAAAGCCGGGCGTTGGTGGCGCATGCCTTTAATCCCAGCACTCGGGAGGCAGAGGCAGGCGGATCTCTGTGAGTTCAAGGCCAGCCTGGTCTACAGAGCTAGTGCCAGGACAGCCTCCAAAACAATACAGAGAAGCCCTGTCTGGTAAAAAACAAAAAAACAAAAAATAAAAAACAAAGTGCTGAGGATGCAGAAAAGAGCAAAACTAGGGCCACCCTCAAGAGGATCCACAGGTGGCCAGGGAAAGCCACAGAGGCATGGAGCGTCCCAGGGCTATGGACAGCAAGGCAACTGTCCATTTCTTCCACTTTTTTGATAACTAGCAAGAAGTGAGCTTTTCTAACTTGTGGGGCTACACTAGGAATGTACGCTGTAAGTCAAGGCATCCAATAAATTGGTTGATTGAAATGTCTACTAGGACGACAGGGTCAGACACTGGGTCTCTGCCACCCTGGACCGCCTCACAGGGAGCAAATCCACTCTGACTGTGGCTGTCCAGCCACGTCTCCACTCCAGGCTGCAGAAGCATGCTGGTCTGCCTCCCAATGGGGTCATGAGCTTTAATTAGTTACTGTTAGTAAGTGCTCTGAAGATGCGGGGGTGGATAAACACTGCAGGTCATTAGGCCTCTTCATACCACTGTGTTCTGCAGCCTGGGAACTGCTAATTGAGAAATAATTAACACCTCAGGGTATAAAGGACACTACCTAGATTTTCCAGATTGGAGGGGTTATAACCATGTGTGTGGGCAGAGGGAGAATAAAAGGTAACTGTGGACACATGGATCCCAAGATATCCTGAACATGACTTCTCTCCTAGTAGGAGGAATACTGCCCCAGCAAAACTGTGAGACACCAGTCCCCAAGGAAAACCCCTCCCATAGAGCTGGGCTGTAAGGACCCAGTGTGGCTTTTAGAGACAGAACTCAGGACCACCAGCTCAGCCTGGCCCTCTAAGTGGGTTGACAGACATTACGGTCATGTGCTGTCATGTGCTCTAGCCAAGCCACATCTTCCTGGACATATGGGTGTGACAATCCCATATATCTACCACCCTCCCTCGCCAGGCTGTCTGGTATCTTTCCTGTAGGCCCGTTCATCTACCGCAGAATCATTCTAGGGAGACTTTAAACTTGTCCTGCCTCAGTGACCTCACTTCAGGATTGATGTACGTGGAGATTCCTGCACTGCTCTGGCCTGGGTCTCAGGCACTGTGTCACTGAAGCCTGAACGCCTGGAAGGAATAAAGATATTCTTAATGAGGCACATGTGCCCCTCCCTTTGCCTAGGAAACAATGCACCTCAAGAAATTAGAATTCCTCTGGGAATCTCATACTAAGGGGAAGGAAAAGACTAAAAGTCTGAGCCACTGTGGTGGTTTGAAAGAAAATGGCTCCCAAAGAAAGTGGCACTATTAGGAGGTGTGGCCTTGTTGGAGGAAATGTGTCACTGTAGGGGTGGGCTTTGAGGTCTTTTTCTCAAGCTTCACTCAGTGTGACAATCAGTCGACTTCCTGTTGCCTGAGTCAAGAGGTAGGACTCTCAGCTCCAGTGCCTCATTTGCCTGCACACTGCTATGCTCCCGACCATGATGATAAATGGACTGAACCTCTGAAACTGTAAGCAAGCCACCTCAATTAAATGTTTCCTTTAGCCTGGTGGTGGTGGCTGGACTGACAGCCTCCAATTACAGAGAAACCCTGTCTCGTAAAAAAAAAAAAAAAAATGTTTCCTTTATAAGAGTTGCCATGGTTAGTCAGGTGGTGGCGTATGCCTTTCATCCCAGCACTTGAGTGGAAGGAGCAGGTGGATCTCAGTGAGTTCAAGGTTAGACTGGTCTACAAATCAAGTTCCAGGACAGCCCGGACTGTTACACAAAGAAACACTGTCTTGAAAAACAAACAAACAAAAAAAGAGTTGTCGTGGTCATGGTGTCTCTTCACAGTAATGATGAAAAAAAAAAACCTAAAACAGCTGGGCAGTAGTGGGGCACTTCTTTAATCCTAACACTCGGGAGGCAGAGGCAGGCAGATCTCTGTGAGTTCGAGACCAGCCTGGTCTATAAGAGCTAGTTCCAGGTCAGCCTCCAAAGCTACACAGAGAAACCCTGTCTCAGAAACCAAAACTAAAACCAAACTAAACCAAAACAAAAGAAAACAAAGCAAAAAACCCCTAAGACAGCCATCCAGAAAAAATCCCAGAAAAGGACTGCAATTTGTCAGACCACCTTTCAGGACAGGCTAGAAAAGGAAACAGTGATGGTTTTGGTACAATCTAGGGGTCCTAATGGGGTTCCTTTTCTCTACCAGTTAAGACTCAAAGGCAAGAAAAATCTGAAGCAAAACAGAGAAACCTCAAGCACCTCAGACAGAATCAGCTGGAGAAAAGAATTTATCGGGAGTGAGGAAATGCGTGCACACAGTAAACACAGAGAAAAAGACCCTGGCAAAGCAGAGGGGCACTAACCGAAAATCCATTCTCTCCTGTAGGACTGAGGCTGTTAGGGCCTCTGAAGGGTCTTCCTTCCCCATTTAGGGTTGGTCAGTTTGAAGAAAGCAAGGGTGGCTGATTGGCCCAGGGCTGTTGTGGGACTTGTCCTGATAGTGGGAAACAGAAACCTACACGGCTTTTCTTTGTTTTAAGCTGCCAGGTTTTTTGTCTCAAGTCAGGATAGTGAGGAAGAAGCTGGACATCTTGGAAATTCACCACCTCTATGACCTAGCCATGGCCCTGTCTGTCTGTCGGCCAGGGAATCTGTCTAACTGCTAGTCTCAGCTTGTTGAGGACAGGTGGCCACATCTGGCTTATTGGGTTTTTCAGGACCTAGGTTCTGACCCTTGGAAACATCAGGATCTGTGAGAAAGAAATATGCAGACCCACCACTCGCCTATCCCTCTTGTATTACTTCATCACGTTCTGCTCCATGCCTCTGAGTGTCCTGGCCCCTCTCCCATCATCTCTAAAGTAAAGCTCCCCCTTCCCTGCATTCCTGCAGGGCTTTGCTGACGCTAGTGATCACAGGCATTGTTTATGAAGCTCCCAGGGAGTCATCGTAGCTTGCCCTGGGTCCAGCACACTTGAAGCAGTCTATAAACCGCGGTTGTTGAGTAGAGTAACTGAAATAAATGCAGCTCCTGCTCAGGTCATTTTATACTCTGTTCTGTCTGTAACATTCTCCTGCAGAGAGCCACAAGGCTCTGTGTCTGCCCTTCTTCAGGTCATTGATAAAATGCCAGCTTGGTGGTAAGGCTTTCCATGGGCGACCAATTTTAACTCAGAACCATCCAGTTCCCCGCTCCATTTTTTTTCTAAGTTAACTTGTCTCCAGAACATGTAACACCCTTGGACCGACAACTTAACGTTTTCTTTCTAAGGATTTTTGTGTTAATTTTGGTTTAAAAAAGAATTTTTATCAAAATCCTGTTTTGTCTTGGTTTCTGAGTTCTTTAATGCCCTGCTTCCGTGCTGCGGTGCTGTTTTGGTTTTTTGAGATGGGTTTTTTCCTGTGTAGTAGTCCTGGCTGTCCTGGCACTCACTCTGTAGACCAGCCTGCCTCTGCCTCTCGAGTGCCGGGATGAAAGGCGCGCGCCACCACCGCCCGGCAAATCGAAGCTTTTTAAATCATAGGGGAGATTTGAAACATGGTCTCCCGTGTGTTACCAAAGTCAAGGTTACTTAGCAGTCCACCTGTTCTCTAAGAGTCAAACAGGTCCTAGCAGTGTGCGGTAAAAACGGACTCCAAGCAGAGCTGGGTTTGACCATGGAGTCGCACCTTGCTAATTCCTAGAGGGCACTTCCGGAACCGTGATTTACGTGTGGCGACTCCGGCCAATCTATGATCTCGGCGGGAGAGCAGGGATCCTTGGCTCCGTTTCCGGAAACTCTCTCATGCCCTTCTCCAGTAGGATGGTGCCAGGGAGTCCCACCCCTTCCCGAGAATGTGGCTTTCCGATTGGCGAGAAACAAGAGAGGTGGGGCTTGGACCGAGCCGGCGCAGGCGCACTGGCTCGAGTGACGGACGAGCGGGCGGCGCAGGTGTAGAGTGCTGCTGGTGAGCGTGGCTGGCTTGAGGGTGGTCAGGGAGGGCGCGTCGAGTCTAGGGACCGTGTCCGGGCGCTCTGTCCGCTTTCAGGCGTGCGTCCTGCCCTGGAGTTGGGCGGAGTCACAACCACAGACAGTTGGATAGTCGAGTCCTTGGTCTCAGCACCCCGACCCAGCTGTGTTTAAGGGCAACGCTTCTGCCCTGGTCAGCCTCGCGTGGCCCTTAAGAGTCCGAGTTCCTAGAATGGCCCATTCTGGAGCAGCCTCGAGGATGACTTGGTGGTTCAGCCGCCTTAGTGTTTTGAAGAGGGATGAAGTGACATTACCCGGGTAGGGTCACCCCTCTTGAAGGCCGAGACAGTTTAGAGCCGGGTGCTGTCTTACACAGCGCTTTCAGTGGTGGAAACTTGGTATGATCAGGAGGCGAGTTGCAGCATTCCAGAACGACCCTGTACGCTTTGCTGTTGCCTTACACAAATGACCTCCCCATCCCAGAGCCTATGCATTGGGTATCATAATAGCCAAAGGTTTATGGCGCTTACTGTGTACCGGGCACTTGGAAGCGCTTTGTGTACAGCTTTCCTGACTGCATCGTGTGTTGAGTCGTGTAGTGTGTACCTGGAACAGGGAGGGGATCGGGAAAAGGGGAGGGCATCTCACAGGTGGGATCTGCGTGCTCCCCCTCCCTAGGCAGCAGGAAACTGTCCCTACTGCTGCCTGTGTTTTGAAAAGTTGAAAGCAGAAGAAACCAAGGGGACCGGTAGCGGGCAGTTTTAGCGGGCTGAGTAAAAACTGATGATAGCTGGGTATGAGATGTAGGCTGGTCAGGTGGAGAGCAGGTGATAGACAGGGCCAGGGGACCAGACGATGCTGCAGGGGTGAGGAGCAGAGTAGATGAGGGCGGGCTTCTGGTTTGGCTGGAGGGTGCTTCTGGCGCCTTGCAGGGTGATCCTCAGATCTGCAGGGCACCATTGTCAAGAGACTCAAATAGCTGTGTACCGTGTTCTCCAAAGACGAGGAGAATACGTCCAGCAGACAGTTTGGACAGTGAGTAAAGATGCAGGCTGACCAAGGATGTGTGGTGAGAAGCGCAGTTAAGACAATACTGTTGGTTTGTTTGTAGCAGAGTTTCATTATATGTCCTCGGATGGCCTGGAACTCTGGTGTGTAATCCTGGCTGGCCTTGAACTTGCGGTAATCCTACCTCTGACTCCCAGGGGCTGAGATTACTGGATGTGCCGACAGCCTGGCAATATTGACAGAAAGTGGAGGTTGGGAATAGAGACGGAATAGAAACCTGCCCTTGGTTGTTGGCTGTGGGATGACAGTTGATTTGTTTCGGGTTCTTTCCCCAGTCTCCTAAAAGAGTAACAATAGCAAACATCAGCCAAGCACATGAAATGTGCCAAAAACTGACGTAAGAATGAAAGCTTTCCCCACCTTTAAGAAAATGCCCACAGTAGACATACAAAGCAAATTTGTATTTCATGATGAAAACTTTAGTACACAAAAATAGACAAGTGTGCCAGGCTGCAGGAAGTCCCAGTGGGAAGTTGGCCTAGAACCCAGGCTGCCATATCCAGAGCCCATGCATCAGCTCTGGATGCTGTCTCCACAGTAGATTGTTACATTTTCATAATCAGAAAAACATGATTTCTTTTGTTGCTGTTCTTCGATAAAGGGTCTCTAATTGCCCTGGCTGTCCTGGAACTCACTGTATAGACCATGCTGGCCTCTGTCTTTGCCTCTCCAGTGCTGAGATTAAAGGCATGTGCCACTAAACCTGGCTGAATTCCTCTGTTTTAAAAAAAAGAGTAGTGCTGTGATCTGCTGGGCTGTTAGACACGGTCAGACCCACATCTCCCAAGATGAGCTTCCATCTCAGGAATTAGTTGGAGCCAATGCTGAGAACCCAGTTAACAGTCATCCACACATGACTCATTTTCCTCCAGGCACCAGGGTGTCATGGAAGGGCTGCTGACGAGATGCAGAACACTGTCTGCCTTGGCCACCTGCAGCCGCCAGCACTCCAGGTACGTTACCCACAAGTGTCACCAATGTCCACCAGGGAGACAGCCGCGCTTGGTATTATCCCACATGTTCCAGCCTCAGAACCTTCGGGAAGACCAGGTGCTCTCTCTGGAGGGCAGAGCTAGCGAATTGACCTGTAAGAGTCAGCGACTGATGCTACAAGTGGGTCTGATCCTCCCAGCAAGCCCTGGCTGTTACCACCTCATGCCCTACACAGTTCGTGCCATGGAGAAGCTTGTGAGGGTAATAGACCAGGAGATGCAGGCCATTGGGGGGCAGAAAATCAACATGCCCAGCCTTAGCCCAGCTGAGCTGTGGCGAGCCACCAGCCGCTGGGACCTGATGGGCAGGGAGCTGCTGAGACTAAGAGATAGGCATGGCAAAGAGTACTGCTTGGGACCAACTCACGAGGAAGCAGTCACAGCCCTGGTCGCCTCCCAGAAGAAACTGTCCTACAAGCAGCTCCCCTTACTGTTATACCAGGTTACAAGGAAGTTTCGGGATGAGCCCAGGCCCCGTTTTGGTCTTCTCCGTGGCCGAGAGTTCTATATGAAGGACATGTACACCTTTGACTCCTCCGCTGAGGCTGCCCAGGAGACCTATGGCCTGGTGTGTGATGCTTATTGCAGACTTTTTGACAGACTGGGGTTACGATGGCTGAAAGCCAGGGCAGACGTGGGTAGCATCGGGGGCACAATGTCCCATGAATTCCAGCTACAAGTGGATATTGGAGAGGACCGGCTTGTAGTCTGTCCCAGCTGCCACTTCTCAGCCAACAAAGAGATACAAAACTTGTCACAAAACATCTGCCCTGACTGCCAGGGTCCACTGACAGAAACCAAAGGCATTGAGGTGGGGCACACATTCTTCCTCGGTACCAAGTACTCCTCCATTTTCAATGCCCAGTTTACCAATGCCCATGGGGACCCCACACTGGCAGAAATGGGGTGCTATGGCTTGGGAGTCACTCGGATCTTGGCTGCTGCCATTGAAGTTCTCTCGACAGAAGACTGCATCCGCTGGCCCAGCCTCCTGGCTCCTTACCAAGTCTGCCTCATCCCCCCTAAGAAGGGCAGTAAGGAGGCGGCAGCCGCAGAGATCGTGGAGCACTTGTATGATGACATCACGGAGGCAGTGGCTCAGCTCCAAGGGGAGGTCCTGCTGGACGACAGGACCCACCTGACCATCGGAAACAGACTGAAAGATGCCAACAAGCTTGGCTACCCCTTCGTGATCATTGCCGGCAGGAAGGCCCTGGAGGACCCTGCACGCTTTGAGGTTTGGTGCCAGAACACTGGTGAGGTGGTCTTCCTCACCAAAGAGGGAGTCATGGAACTACTGACTGGTGTTCGTGTTGTCTAAGTGCCCAGCCACACCTGTCCCCAGGCTTGGTGCCCGCTGTAACCCTGTAGTCCTCCACTTGTCTGGGGTGGTCTCTCCAGAAATGGCTTCTTGTGGAAGGTGAGACCATGTTAGGGAAGCCTGTACCCATTCCTTGCTCGTGACAGTATGTATTAACTTGATCTTCTCCGGGCTGCTCATGCTACCATGTGCCATTCTTTCTGCTTGTAGACTGAAAGGTAAGGAAGAGGCCTACATCACTCCCTAAGGAAAAGTGAGATTCCAGGTGTAAGATGGGAATGGTTAAAGTTGGGGGCCATGCTTCCCCAACCTCACCCACAGTCTAACCACATGCCTTACATTTCAGTCCAGAGAGCAGGCCCCTTCTCCACTGAGGAGCCAAGAACTCCACAGTCAGGAACAGGCTGCTAGCTCCCTGGTGACTGGACACACCTGCTCCCTGCTGGGGCCGGGGCTCCCATTTGGACACAGGAGATGGAGTTAGGTCTGTGAGACCTTAGAGCTCTCACTGACATGTGGGTCTGGTGGTTCCTTATTCCTCTAAACTTCCCAAAAAATTGTCCCAGCTGCCTGATGGCCCCAAACTATCTCCAGAGACTTGACCTTACTGGGTTCACTTCAGCACGGAGATCATGCTCTACTGATTGAATAAAGTCAAGCCTTTGGGATGAGCTTTTTGTGTCAGTTTCAAACAGAAAATAGCATGTTTCAGCAGTGTGCCCAATAGCTTACTGCCCCCTCTGCACTCGCCAGGGGTGGCGGGGCTGGGAAAAAGTGCTTTAAACTTTCTTCCAGACTTCAGGAGCAGCAGGCTCCAGCCCTCCCCCTCCCCTGCAGTGGCCTCGTCCTGGGTTCTGAGTTGAATTCCAAGGCTACAACAGGAATGACTAGTTGAAAGCTGACTAGATTCTGTGGGGAAATGGGGTAGGGCTGGATTCCACAGCAGCACCACCTCTATTCATTGCTCAGCCGCCATCTCAGGCCCGCTATGGTCTCCACGTGTGCAGCTCCCTAGTCCAAGGAATAGTTCCATATTCAAGGTGGGTCTTCCCCACCTTGGCTAGCACTGTCGGAAAGGCTCTCCAGACACATCCAGAGGTGAGCCTCAAATCTAAGTGATCCTACATCCGACCAACTTGCCAACGAAGGTAAATCACAGAAAGGTGTCAAGCTTCCAGAGCAGGTCCTGACTGTGCTTGCGGGTGGGGCTACTACAGAGTAGCAGCAGCTGGACAGAGTGAAGGGAGGAGAGTGAGCCAAGCATCTGCATCCCCTTTGTGTTTGTGGACGCCACCTCCAGCCAGCCACATGCTGTTATGCTCAAGCGCATGGGCCCATGTGAAACCCGAACACTCTCTACGTTGTTGCTTTGGGGTATGTTGGTCAAGTGACATGAGAAGTAATCTGCTTTTGTAACACTTGGGGTTCTGAGAGCAAGCGTAGGCCAGGTTGCATGGCAGTGGCTCTTAGTTTACTGCACATTGAGGTCCCTGGTTCCCTTACAGAGCTTCTGGTTCCAGTGGGGCTGTGGCTTAGAACTCTGGTTGCAGTGAGACTCGAAAGCTGCTGGAGTTGCTTGTTTCTTTGAGTGATTTCAGTGGGGCATCAGGCTGATGCCAGCCTCTGAGGCTCCAATTAATCAAGTGTCGTGAGGATGCATGGTTACTGAGAATCACACCTAGGATACACATGCTGGCCCTAAACTGTGCCTTTCTCACTACATTGCTTGACTTCTGCCCAAGAAGAGTGGTTCCAGTAAGCAAAACAATCTGGGCCTACCCTATTAGCCTTGTGAGAAATTAAAATTCATGCACACGGGCTGAGATGCAGCTCAGTTGGTAGAGCATTTGTTATCAGGATGGAGTTCTGGGATTGGTCCCCAGCATAAACCGGGCATGGAGGTTCTTGTCTGTTATCCCAGCATATGGAGGCTGGAGGAACAGAAGTTCAAGGTCATCCTTGGCTGCATAGGAAGGACCCTTGCCTCAAACAAACAGAATCATACACACAAGTGCTTTAATTTGTTACTATGGTGCAGAGGGTTGAACCCAGGGGCTTGCACATATGCCAGACAAGCAGTTTACTCTTGAGCTGCAGTCCCAAACATCCTTAGGTTCCTTTTTTGAACAGGGTTTCACTATGCAGCAGGCCAGGCTGGCTTCAAATTCACAATCTTGCTTAGCCCTCCTAAGTACTGGTATTACAAGAATGTACCCCTAAGCCTAGCTTTAATTTTTTTTTTTTTTTTTTTTTGGTTTTTCGAGACAGGGTTTCTCTGTGGCTTTGGAGGCTGTCCTGGAACTAGCTCTTGTAGACCAGGCTGGCCTTGAACTCACAGAGATCTGTCTGCCTCTGCCTCCCGAGTGCTGGGATTAAAGGTGTGCGCCACCAACGCCCAGCCTAGCTTTAAATTTTTAAAAAATAAATTGCAAATGTGTATTCTGTAAACTTATTTAAGGAAAGCTGGCCTAAAGGTACTTTACGATTTGTTTATGAATATGAGTGCTTTATTGACTTTATGCCAGAAGAGGGCATCAGATCTCACTATAGATGGTTGTGAGCCACCATGTGGTTGATGAGAATTGAACTCAGGACCTCTGGAAGGGCAGCCAGTGCTCTTAACCACTGAGCCATCTCTCTACCCCCCTAAAGGTACTTTCAAAGCCAGATTCCAAGAATAGAGAGCCAATTCATCTTAGACTTCATAAATGTGCTGCGGAATCCCAGGACCCCACATTCTGGGACGGGAACTTCTCTAGTACTCAGTTCAGGAATGGGGAACAGCCTGGAGTGAGGACAAAGTGTCTCATGCCCTGTGACTGGCAAGTGGGTCAGCCATTGAGTTGCCAAAGCCTCATAGGCTGCTGAAATTGGTACCCGTTCTCTGTCTCACAAGGAGTTTACAAGTACAGTGCCATCCTGAACCAGACTTGAGTGTTAGGCATTGGCAGCCAGGGCCAATGTGATTTGGTGAGCAGATGAGAGATGTGACGAGGCATTATCCTAGATTCGGCTCTTCCTGGGGCTGTGACCTAAGACAAACTGTCCTTTGCAGGCCTCATTCTTGGCAAGGTGCTCAGAGGAATGGTAGCCTCCTCATAGGGCAATATGGGCTAACAAAGCCACTTGTGTGGAATACTTAATTCTTAGTGTGCACTCACGAAACCCTTCTCTTCCCTCTGAGGGTGCATTCCCACAATTTAAATCCTCCAGGAGGCTTGGCTCTGCCACTAACATTATCCTAAGACCTGGATCTTGTTTTCTGGAGTTGAAGCTTTGCAGCCTTCCTGGGGAGTCAAGCAGGTGGGGCACACCTACAGAATTTTCAACTTGAAACATCCAAACAACACACCCTACTCATTTCTGAACCCAGATTTTTACCTCTTGCTATAAACTCAAGGCTGAGGTGTTGGCTGGATAATTCAGTAAAGCAGAACTATCACTGCTCATCCCTTGGGAAGATCTAGAGGCAACTGGCTGGGAAATAGCTGAATTAATACTCTGGGACAAAGGTGCATAATAAACCCACCATGTAAATCAACCTAGAATGTAAATCAGGACTCCATAAATATTCTGGGTTTTTTTGTTTTGTTTTGTTTTTCGAGACAGGTTTCTCTCTATTGTTTTGGAGGAAATATTCTGTGTTTTAATGAAACACCTGCTGAGCCATCAATAAAGGAACTTAGCAGAAATATGTTGAAATTGCCCCTTTCCTAACTGCTTGGATACCAAGCCTCTTCAGCAGCCCATTTCTGTATTAAGATACCACTATGCTTTAGTGGATTGTTTTGCTCCAAGGGCTTTGCTTTATTGGGAAAAGGATGGGGAAATATTTGTAAGTGTTACTGCAAACTTAAGTAACATTAAAAAAACAAACGAGATATTCCACTTAATATAAAACATTGGTTTACATTGTAGTGTGAGAATTCAGACTGGAGATGACTAAGAATACATGAGCCACTTAATAGCTCTATGACTGTGATGGAAACTTTCTTAGAGTCCCAGTACCTCAACTTTCTTGTGGGTAAAATGGGACCAGTGCCTGGGCCATTGCAGGTACATGCTAAGTGGCAACTGCCCTTACATCAGGAGATACTTTGCACATAGGTTGGGGGCACACACAATGGGCCAGCAGGAAAGGGTGGCATGTTGATGCTTGCCACGTTCAGGCAGACTGCTAGGGCAGGGACCGAGTCCCCAGTTATCAAGCCAGTAGCTTGCCAGGCTGCTGACAAGCTCCCAGGGCTGAGCTTAATAGCCTTTGGCTAATGAACACTGTGGGGCCAGCAAGGTGCAGAGGGGGCACACACAGATAATGGTGACAGTGCATCCTATTTGCAAGGGCAGATCTGCTGCCGGGGCTCTCAAAGGCAGGCTGTAAGCCAAGCATGGTCTTGTTGTGGAATTAAAAAGTGTGTCAAAGAACAGGATAGTGGTCACCAGAGTAAGTGGCGCACTGGAAATTGTGTCGGAGGAGGGGGAGGATGGAGAGGACGGCTAACAAATGCAGGTGCTGCTAAATGGGGGGGTCACTTTAAGTTCTATAGCACAGTAGGACAACTGTGGTTGGCAGTGGTTCCCTTACTCGTTTAAAATGGCCAGTAGAGAGGATTTTCAGCATTTCCAGCAAAGTGAAGTACATGTGATCTGTCATCCAGTAATTACACGTACAGAAATGCCACACTACACCCTCTATGAATGTTCAATTACTATGTCTCAATTTAAATTTAAATACTACATACCTTTAAACAAGATTACTTAGATGTGCATAGTTTAACCACACAAATCTTAAAAGCAGAGGGTTTTCTCTGGCTGGAGTCAGATGTGGCAGGAGAATCCCAGGCACAAGACGCAGAATGTAACATGCCACTGAGGAGCAGTTAGTCACTGAGACCCAGGAACCAGAAAGGCTTCCAGACACTAAAGACAGCCCTGCTGAGGACAAGCGCGCCAAGGGGTGCCTCAGTTCTACCTCAGTGAACTGTAGTCTCCCAACCACCTGGACAAGCCTGGAAGCAGTTCTCAGAACCTGCAGGAAGAGCTCAGAAGGCCGATATTTTTACTTCAGCCTTGTAAATCCTGGAGCAGAGATAACAGCCGAGCCAAGGATGTTTCTGGCACAGAACTGTGAGGTAATGAATCTGGCTGCTAAAGGAGACGGAATGGAAGAAAGAATCGAAGAGAAAAACTGGGAGCCCCACAGAGTTCCGTGGCTGCAGGCTCAGGCTGGGATTCTGAAGACAACACATTATCCTAAGCAAGCAGGCAGGTTGGGAATGCTGTATAGCACAGTGACTGCCAACACTGCACCATAAGCTTGGAGCAGTCCTGCTGTCTCTGAAGGGCTTAGGAGGGTTCTGAGTTCAAGTCCTGGTCCACTTTTTTAATGATTTTTTTATTTTATTTTCCAGTTTAAATTTAGATAAGAAACAAGGTTGCTTCACAAGTCAGTTCCAGGTCCCTCTCCCTTTCCCTCTCCTCCTCCCATGCCCTCCCCCCAACCCCCCCCCCGTTATCCCCTCATTCCCCCAGGGAGGGTGAGGCCCTCCATGGGGGTGTCCATAGTCTGTCATTTCATATAGGGCAGGGCCTAGACCCTTCCCCAAGAGTTCAGGGTGAGAGTGCACCTCACATTGTTCTATGGGAGTCCAAAGTCCGTGTGTATACTTGG